TTCTCAAAAAACCAGCTTTTAGTTTCATTTATCTTTGCTATTGTTTTCTTTGTTTCTATTTCATTTATTTCTGCTCTGATCTTTATGATTTCTTCTTCTGATTTTGGATTTTGTTTGTTCTTCTTTCTCTGGTTCTTTTAGGTGTAAGGTTAGATTGTTTGAGATTTTTGTTGTTTCTTGAGGTAGGATTGTAGTGCTATAAACTTCCCTCTCAGAACTGCTCTTGCTGTATCCCATAGGTTTTGGGGCCATCGTGTTTTCATTGTCTCTAGGTATTTTTTGATTTTCTCTTTGGTTTCTTTAGTGATCTCTTGGTTTTTTAGTAACATATTGTTTAGCCTCCATGTGTTTGTGTTTTTTCTTTTTAATTTATTTAATTTATTTATTTTTGGCAGCATTGGGTTTTCATAGCTGTGTGCAGGCTTTCTCTAGTTGCGGAGAGCAGGGACTACTCTTCATTGCGGTGCACAGGCTTCCTATTGCGGTGGCTTCTCTTGTCACATAGCACGTGCTCTAGAGCGCAGACTCAGTAGTTGTGGCACAGAGGCTCAGTAGTTGTGGCTCATGGGCTCTAGAGCGCAGGCTCAGTAGTTGTGGCTCATGGCATGTGGGATCTTCCCAGACCAGGGCTCGAACCTGTGTCTCCGGCATTGCCAGACAGATTGTTAACCACTGCACCACCAGGGACGTCCTGTTTGTGTTTTTTACGTTTTTTTTAAAAACGTAATTTATTATGTTAATTTATTTCTAATCTCACAACGTTGTGGTTGGAAAAGATGCTTGATGTGATTTCAATTTTCTTAAATTTACTGCAGCTTGATCTGTGACCCAAGATGTGATCTGTTCTGGAGAGTGTTCCATGTGCACTTGAGAACAAAGTGTAATCTGCTGTTTTCGGATGGAATGTACTATAAATGTCAATTAAATCTATGTGGCCTACTTTGTCATTTAAAGCTTGTGTTTCCTTATTAATTTTCTGTCTGGATGATCTGTCCATTGGTGTAAGTGAGTTGTTAAAGTCCCCCACTATGATTGTGTTGCTGTCAATTTCATCTTTTATAGCTGTTAGCATTTGCCTTATGTATTGAGGTCCTCCTCTGTTGGTTGCATATATATTTATAATTGTTATGTCTTCTTCTTGGATTGATCCCTTGATCATTATGTAGTATCCTTCCTTGTCTCTTGTAACATTCTTTATTTTTTTTATTTTTATTTTTTTGCGGTACATGGGCCTCACACTGTTGTGGCCTCTCCCATTGCGGAGCACATGCTCCAGATGCGCAAGCTCAGTGGCCATAGCTCACGGGCCTAGCTGCTTCACGGCATGTGGGATATTCCCGGACTGGGGCACGAACCTGTGTCCCCTGCATCAGCAGGCGGACTCTCAACCACTGTGCCACCAGGGAAGCCCAACATTCTTTATTTTAAAGTCTATTTTATCTAGTATGAGTATTGCTACTCCAGCTTTGTTTTGATTTCCATTTGCATGGAATATCTTTTTGCATCCCCTCACTTTCAGTCTGTATGTGTCCCTAGGTCTGAAGTGGGTCTCTTGTAGATACCATATATATGGGTCTTGTTTTTGTATCCATTCAGCAAGCCTGTGTTTTCGGTTGGAGCATTTAATCCATTCACATTTAAAGTAATTATCAAATATGTATGTTCCTATTACCATTTTCTCAATTGTTTTGGGTTTGTTTTTGTAAGTCCCTGTCTTGTCTTGTGTTTCCCAGTTAGAGAAGTTCCTTTAGCATTTGTTGGAGAGTTGATTTTGTGGTGCTGAATTATCTCAGCTTCTCCTTGTCTGTAAAGCTTTTGATTTCTCTGTCAATCTGAATGAGATCCTTGCTGGGTAGAGTAATCTTGGTTGTAGGTTCTTCCCTTTCATCACTTTAAATACAACGTGCCACGCCATTCTAGCTGGTAGAGTTTCTACTGAGAAATCAGCTGTTAACATTATGGGAGTTCCCCTGTATGTTATTTGTCATTTTTCCCTAGTTGCTTTTAATAATTTTTCTTTGTCTTTAATTTTTGTCAATTTGATTACTATGTGTCTTGGCGTGTTTCTCCTTGTGGTTATCCTGTCTGGGACTCTCTGCACTTCCTGGACTTGGGGGCTGTTTCCTTTCCATGTTAAGGAAGTTTTCGACTGTAATCTCTTCAAATATTTTCTCGGGTCCTTTCTCTCTTTCTTCTTCTGGGACCCCTATAATGTGAATGTTGTTGCATTTAATGTTGTCCCAGAGGTTTCTTAGGCTGTCTTCATTTCTTTTCATTCTTTTTTCTTTATTCTCTTCCGTGGCAGTGAACACCATTCTCTCTTCCAGGTCACTTGCCATTCTTCTGCCTCAGTTATTCTGCTATTGATTCCTTCTAGTATATTTTTCATTTCAGTTATTGTATTGTTCATCTCTGTTTGTTCTTTAATTCTTCTAGGTGTTTGTTCTTCACTTTTTCTAGGTCTTTGTTAAACATTTCTTGCATTTTCTCGATCTTTGCCTCCATTCTTTTTCCAAGCTCCTGGATCATCTTCACTATCATTATTCTGAGTTCTTTTTCTGGAAGGTTGCTTATCTCCACTTCATTTAGTTGTTTTTCTGAGGGTTTTTCTTGTTCCTTCATCTGTTACATAGTCCTCTGCCTTTTCGTTTGTCTATCTTTCTGTGAATGTGGTTTTCCTTCCACAGGCTGCAGAATTGTAGTTTTTCTTGCTTCTCACGATATAGTTTTTAATTATAAATAATTCAGGTTATTTGTTGCTGTTATAATAAAAGAACCTAATTAAATTTTTAATATTTATCTTGAATCTAGTAAATGTGTTGAACTCTTATTGCTTATAATTTTGTAGATTGACTTTCGATTTTCTATTTAGGTAGTTCTGTCATCCATGAATAGTGAAAAGTACTTCCTCTCTAGTTATTATTTTTTGAATGATTCATATCTGTATGCATACATTTATATTTAATATGTACATATATACACACAGGCACATGCACACACATGTATATATGTTTACATATATATACATCTAGATATATTTATCTTTTTTTAAACTGTAAAGTTGTATGGATGCAGTGCTGGTAGACATCCTTATATTGTTCCTGAGGAAATCTTTCTAATGTTTCACCATTATATATTGCATTAGTTGTAGGATCAAAGGGTTGTACCCTTTAGTAATTCAGAGATGTTCTAGCCTATTGTTTTCTTAAGCATTTTTATTAATGTGTGCTGGATTTTATTAAATACTTAATCTACATCTCTTGAAATGATTGTAAAGCTTTTCTCCTTTAAATTGTTAATATGGATAATTAAGTGAATACATTTTATAATACTTAAATCATACTTATATTCTGGGACAAACTTAAATTAGTTTGTAAGTCATGATGTTTATTTTAAATTTTCTTACTGGATTCAGTTTACTTTTGGGAGGAGTGGGAGTAATATTTTATTTAGAACTTTTGTGTCTCTTCATAAGAGATAGTGGCCTAGAGTTTTTCTTTCTCATACTGTCCTCATTGAGCCTTGATGTATTAGGGCTGCGTGTAACAAATTACCATGAACTGTTTGGCGTAAAACAAGAGAAATTTGTTCTCTCCCACAGTCCTGGAAAATAGAAGTCCAAAATCAAAGTATCTGTAGGGCTCTCTGCTCCCTCTGAAGCCTTTAGGGAAGAAGCCTTTCTTGCCTCTTTCTAGTTTCTGGTGATCGACTGCTGGCAGTCTTTGGTATTCCTTGAGTTATAGGTGTATCACTCCAGTTTCGGCTTCTGCTTTCACATGGCCATCTCCCCTCAGTGTCTCTCTGTCCAAAATTTCCTGTTCTTATTAAAGACACCAGTCACTAAATTTAGGGCCTATCCTAATCCAGTATAACCTAATGTTAACTTGATTATCTCTACATAGAGTCTGTTTCCAAATATGGTCACATTCTGAGTTTCCCGATGGACATGGATTTGGGGAGAATACAGTTCAACCCAGTATATTTGGTATCAAGGTTTTACTAGCGTTATGTAAGTCTTTGGCACCAGGAATTCCTTAAAGATTCATAACTTCCTATCTTAAATCACTAATAAGCCCTGGAGATAACTGTAAAAACCTAGAGCACTAGACTACTTCTTTCATTCTATCTTGAGAGGCATACAATGGAGATGAATAATTCACATATTTAACTTACTTTACAATGGAGATGAATAATTCACATATTTAACTTACTTTTATATAACTTACAATATAATTCACATATTTAATGTACAATGGAATGAATAATTCACATATTTAACTTACTCCAGCATTTTTTATCATCCTATTTTTAAGTTTTACATTACTTTTATTAATGCTTACTAAGGTTATAAAAGATTAACATCAAACAGAATAAAGTAAATTCCCTCAGGCAAGTAAAAACATATTCTTTACCCATTCTCTCATTCACTCTAGAATGACATGAATGCTCAGGTATCTGCATTAGCTTTTTGTTTTGCTACTTCTTTTAGTATTACTTAATGGTGCTTGTGAGCAATAATTACTATATAGCCTTCAGTTTATAATAGCACGTCCTATACTTTGTAAAAACTTTAAGTGTTTTTCCAGATAAACTCAGCTGTTATGAGTACTGGCTTTACCCCTTTTGCAGACTTCAGAACTTTATTATATAAGATGTAACTACACTTATATAAATTAGTGTCCGTATAGGTAAAAAAATTGTGCACACTGTCTTTATTCCAGGGCTTTTAACTAAATTCAGCCTTGTGAGTAGTTTTTTAAAAAAATCTTCAATCATGTAAAACACAGTGGGACTGTGACACCAGTGACATTGTTCCTGTAAGTAGAGAAAGCTGAAGAAGGTAAAGCTATGTTAACAGTGAAGTAGCCTTTGTTCAGTGTACTAGGTAATATTACCACACAGTAGATCTTAAAAGATTTTTATAAGTAAAAGACTTTAGAGGGTGACTGATTTAGCATCTTTCATTCAGTATTAAACTATATTTTCCCCTTAATTTTTAGACTTTATTCATCACATTAATGACACAGATGCAATACTGAGCACCAACGATAGCAACCTTGGTAAGTAGTTTGGAATTGAAAGTTTGGCTTGTTTCTTTATTCATCACCTCGCTTCAAAAATGCTTTAAGATAGAACCTATAACTTTATTTTAGGTAAATGACCAGCATAAAATCATTATGTTAAGTAAGCCACTATTAAGTTGTTGGCAGTCAGTATGTTTAAAAAAAAAAAAATACTCCACAAAATTTTGTGTTAATGTGAGCTAAACAATATTTAGTTCATATTATTCAATCCACAGTTATAGCTCACATCTATAGTATCCATATTTGCCTATGATCAATACACATTTTGAAGAACCTATATCACTGCTAATTGTTTTGGAAGTCTAGAACCATAGTTCTCAGTTTGTTAACTTAGTTTTAGATATTTATTGTTAGTAATATTTAAGATATACAAATCTGTGGCCTAAATTTCCTAATAATGAACCAAGGTTAGTAAATACAGAAAAATAAATTAAAGATTTGTCAAAAAAAACCCTTAATTTCTTAGAAAAGTTTCTTTTAATTAATTTATTAAAAATAAACGTTTGTGGCCTATGGGTTTATCCAATATGGCAGTCATAGGAAGAGTGAATAGAAAAGATAACATAACCTGGTTAACAGTGTAACTAACATCACCTAAAGCTTTTATGTGTTTAAGTTTATACTGAATTCATAGCATTTTGATGGAGGTACACATTGATCACTAAGAGGACAATTCATTCAATGCATATTTATTAAGCCTATTACCTGTGAGGAACTGTTCTAGGCTCTGGGATATAATGGACAGACAAGAGTTTCTCCTCTCATAAAGCGTACATTCCCATGTTTTCTATTCAGTGTCTTATTTTACCCCTTGATTAAACTGATTAACCTGTCATTTATTAACACTAGAAAATGAAGTATCAGCTTTTATTTCTGTGAACACACACATATACACTTTTCAATAATTATACTAAAGTATTTTAGTATAATTTAAACATATATCTCTTGCACCCTGTTCCTTACCTCAGAATTTTCAAAAGACCAAGTAACATACTTGTCTTAAAAGAGAAATTCATTTTACTATAGCTATTCTGATATCCATTGATAAAACTAGTTTATTAATATCTAATAGGATTTCTTCACTAGAGTTCATTGTTGAGTTCATAAATATCACAATTACAGTGATAATTTGGAGAGCACCATCAGCAAAGTCAGTTTAGTTTGCATAGTGATATGTTGATAGTAGCACTTCTTGATTCTTTGGTTTATTTTGAACAGTGTATTAAATAAAGTATGAAACAATCCGTCTCAGTTAATATTTAAAATTACAGCTCACATTTATTGGATACTTACTGTGTGCAGGCATTGTTCTAAATATTTTACAGCAACTCCATAAGGTCGATCTTTTCTCTCATTTTCTATGCAGAAACCAAGGTACAGAGAAGTTAGTGACTTGCCCAAGGTTACATAACTATTAAGTGACAGAGTCGAGATTCTTTATTCAGTCAATATACTTCCATAGCCTGTGCTCTTTACCACTGTAATTATTAGCACAGTTATTAGCACAAAAATTAAAGTTAATTTACTTCTCTCCAGAGCATAGAAGAAAAATGTGCATGTTAAAGTACTAAGAAAAAAGGTGAAAGAAAATTGTTTAGTTTTGTGGTATGCGAAATAACGGATAGAGAATAAAATTGTCAGCATTTTTCACTAGCATTAAACATTCTTTACAAAGAGCTGATTATTAGAAAAAGTACTATTACGAAACTAGAAACAGTGAGAATGATTTGTATTCTCTCTGCTAACAGAAGATCAGTGTTAGGAAAAATACGTTTTACTCGGTTCCCAGTTCTCTGGATATCATCTGGGCTCTTAAGCTGCTACAAGTTGTGATAAACGTCCAGGACAGTTACTGTGGATTGCTGGAATTCAAGATTCTTAAGCTATAAGCAATAATTAGATTTTGGCAATACCATGGCAGATGTTTTGATGGTGTCCACTTTTTATTCCAAACCCAGAGATTTTGTTTATTGTTAGAAGAAACCTGTTCTTTGGCCTTTGTGTGGGTTATTAGCACGGTGAACAATTACCTGTATGATATTTCTTATATTATTATACAAATAGGATCAAATATCATCCAACCCAGTATTTTCTCTCTAGCAATGGGACCAAAGGATATTTGGTACGATAATTTTATAATTTCAAGTAGAAATTAAGGCTATACCTCAAAATTTTCTAACATTCTCCTACCTTTAATTATTTATAGGTAAAAGGTTTCTAATATAAGTATATATAAAATAGATAACAAGGACCTACTGTATAGCTCAGGGAACTGTATTCAGTATCTTCTAATAACCTATTATGGAAAAGAATCTGAAAAAGAATATATAAATATATAAATAACTGAATCGCATTGTTGTATACCTGAAACTAACACAACACTGTAAATCAACTATATTTCAATAAAAATAAATAATAAAAATAAATAAAAAGGGTTCCTAATATATCTAAATATAACCCTCTATTTTTTTCCAGAAAGAAGAAACTTAGCATTCATGGTAAAAATTGAGGTTGGCAGAACAAGTGTCAGTCTTGGGGGTAGTAATTTTCTGTTCTTTGTTGCCTTCTCTAATCTGTTGCTTCCCTATTGTAGTGATTTGTCCAAGCGCCAGGAGTGATGACCATCCTGACAATGGCTCTATGATTTTCTACACCAATGACTCGGGACTCCAGCAGTTTGAAAAGTGGTGGAATAAGTCCAAGACAGTGCCCTTTTACCTCATGGGGCTCCTCCTGCCACTGCTTAATTTCAAATCTCCTTCATTTTTTTCAAAATTTAATATCCTAGGTAAGCCAAGGCACTGTGTTATAGAGCCTCTGTGTAGTAGAATACATGCTGGATTCTGTGGAAATATGGTCTGACTGGGGAAATATCAATACTTACCTTCCAGGCCTGTTCATCTATGTTTAATTTGTTCATGCATATGTTACCCTGCTTTTTGGTTTTCTTTATGGAGGTTGGAAGAGAGAAAAATATAGATGGGCTCTTCCCTGTCAGTCCAGTGGTTAAGACTTCACCTTCCAGTGCAGGGGGAGCAGGTTCAATCCCTAGTGGGGGAGCTAAGATCCCACATGCCTCGCAGCCAAAAAAACCAAAACATAAAACAGAAGCAGTATTGTAACAAATTCAATAAAGACTTTAAAAATGGTCCATATCAAAAAACATCTTTAAAAAAAAAAGAAAAATATAGATGACCATTTCAAGTCCAAGTCCCTTTTTAAGATGAGTTGCTGGGTGCATTAAAAAAAAAAAAAAAGGACTTACCTGGTGGCACAGTGTGGATAAGACTCCACGCTCCCAGTGCAGGGGGCCTGGGTTTGATCCCTGGTCAGGGAACTAGGTCCCACATGCATGCTGCAACTGAGAGTTTGCATGCCAAAACTAAGTAACCCTCAAGCTGCAGCTAAGGAGCCCAACTCCCACAGCTAAGACCCGGTTCAACCAAATTAAAAAAAAGAGAAAAAAGGATGAGTTGCTGTGGTTTCCATTCTATCCTTACTGAACAACTATTCCTCATTTCCTCTAAGAGAACAGCTAGAGGAAGTAGAGTAAGATTTCAGCAGGAGAGATCCAAAGTGGATAATTTAGGAATTCTCAATTCTAAGTGTTGGAAATATTAGAACTTACTAAGGGAGGTTATGGAATATTTTTTTCCTACAGTATCTATTTAAGAGTATAGCACAAAATTATCACTTGACTTTCAACCTGGGATATTGTTCTCTAGCTGAAGCTCCTTAGGTTTATTCTGCTTCTGCTCTCTTCCTCTGTGCTTTTTCTTTCTTAGAACACTATTGCCTCCTTAAAGGAACAGACTTCTTTTTGTGAGACCTGTTTTAGAAAAGGAACCCCTATGAAAGCTCAGATCTGGTTAACTAAAGACAAGGATATCATTCATAAAGAATTGATAACCTAAATAGATAATAGGATTTCACCTCCTCCCTATAGTTCTGACCTCTTGGTAGGCAGCCTAGAGTATGAAATAATTAGATTACTCATCACATCAAGGAGGTGGCTTTGGGTTTTCAGAAGACCAAAGGAGGAGGTAAGGATATTTCTCTATACCTCTGCCTCACAACAGGATTCACTGTAAGACTGACTACCACAGACACACACAGAAAATGAAGAGTTGTGGTTATATAAGCTTTAGCCTCTTGTATTCATCCTTTCTGAATCAGCTAACCTCCAAACCCACAGTAGAGCTTATATAGCTCATTTGTGGTTTCCTGATTTGCTTGCCGACTTTCCCATGGAACAGATCTTTAAAAGTTAGCATGTAAACTTATAGAAGAATTTGCTCAGTTGGGCAAAATAATCACTAGGCTTCTAACCAGGTTAATTATTCTCTACCTCCTTAAGGATATTTTTCTTTTGCCCTTTTTCTTGGTACTTTCCCTTTTAAAACTATATAAAGCTTCTTTAGAGAAATTAGAATCTAATTCCTCTAGAAACCTTTCTGGATTTCTTGACTCTACTCCATAATGACTGGACTTAATTCCTTAAATCCTCTAACATCTAGACTACTAAAAAATCCTGAAATTCTGAATGCCCACTTTACCCTACATAAAGTGGGCATTTACACAGTGAATGGAATCTGGAATCTTTCCATCTAGCAAGTAGTACTGCTCAATCAAAACTTCATCTAGATAGTAGATCAGATTGTTCATGGATTATGTGGCTTATTGCCTTTCTCAAGTAAGTTTATGATCCACATTTACTACTTTTCTTTCTTTTTTCTTTCTTATACCAAATATTTTGACAGACTTTTCCAACTTATTGACTGTCTCTAATACTTTTTTTTAAGTTAATTTTACCCGTTCCTTTTCATTTTAAAATTTTTTATTTATTTCTTTATTTTTTGGCCACGCCATACAGCTTGCGGGATCTTGAAGTTCCCCGACCAGCAATTGAACCTGCGCTCTCAGCAGTGAAAGCGAGAAGTCCTAACCACTGGACTGCCAGGGAATTCCCCTCTAATACTTTCAATACAAAGAATAAGAGTCAGTTTCAGGTTGTTTTTTCTCTCCTATGTAACCTTACAATTTTATAATGGACTCTCTGCATGTATCTTCCACTAAATTCAGGTCATAAGTTCTTCTTAGGCCTACTACATAGTTTTTTGCTTTGTTTTTTGATATCTCACATAGCTCGTTTCTGTTCTTTAGATCTTACCTGGGTTTTAGTGGGCATAAACGACAAAGGTAATAATTTTCCAAACTATGCTGAGAATGTAGAAACAAAACTTGATTTTGAAATAGTCTGTAAAACAAAGTTGATAAATGGTTTCTGAATTTTTCCTTACAGGCACAGTGTCCGTTCTCTACTTGATTTTTCTTGTCACCTTGAAGGCTATTCACTTGGGATTTCATTTGGAGTTTCATTGGTTTACGCCAACAGAATTTTTTGTCCCAGGTGAGCTATTTGTCCCAAGTAAAGAATTAATAAATTACAATAATGTGATCTTCAGTTAACTATTGTTACTATAAAAGAAGTATTGGTAGATTTTATGATGAACACTTTTATTAATGCTGTTAAGCTAAAAACAGGAGTACAGTTGAAATTACTGTGGTTTTCTTGCAGTTAGGGATAACCAGTACCCTTTGTCATTTCTACTTGGGAGTTAAAGTCACAATGCAATTGAAAAATCAAGAACTCATTCTCTAGACTCTCTGAGGAAACATACCCCTAGAATTTCAGAGACTTATTTAGAACATAGTGATAAATATATGTGGACAATACTGGTAATTAACATCATTGTTCCCGTATGGGTTTTTTTCTTTTAATATTGCTGTTTTTCAGGCTAATTAGGATGGTGTTTTTTGTTTTTTTGGTTTTTGTTTTTTTGGGTTTTTTGCGGTACGCGGGCCTCTCACTGTTGTGGCCTCTCCCGTTGCGGAGCACAGGCTCCGGACGCGCAGGCTCAGCGGCCATGGCTCACGGGCCCAGCCGCTCCGCGGCATGTGGGATCTTCCAGGACCGGGGCACAACGCCGTGTCCCCTGCATCGGCAGGCGGACTCTCAACCACTGCGCCACCAGGGAAGCCCTGGAGTGGTGTTTTTGAAACAACCTTCAAAAGCCTCTAATGGTTTCCCAACTCATTCAGAATAAAGGCAAGTCTTTATCATAGTCCACAGGCCCTATATGATCTGACTCCTGGCTTCCTCTTTTATTTCATCCCCTATTACTTTTCCACTCATTCAGTCCACTCCAACCACACTGTCTTCCTTGCTGTTCCACAAAGATGCCAAGCACACTCCTAGCTCAGAATTTTTGCACTTAGGATTCCCTGTACATGAAACGTTGTTGTCTTTTTCTCAGGTATCTACATGGCTGGTATCGTTAGAGAGGTCTTCCCTGACTTCCTGCCCATTCTCACACCTCCTTCTTGTTCCTTATTTTCTTTAGAGCCCTCATCACTACCAAATCTTATATGCAGGTATCCCTGGTCGTCTAAATCTATTAAGTTCTTGATTCTGACTAGTTGGAATATTGAGGCATATCTGTTATTCTAATCAACTTAGCTCCTGAGTTTAAGATAAAAAGTAGCAGATGTTAAGATAACAAGAGACTTACCTAGAACTGTTTCCGAATCTTTTTGGTTCTTGAATTCGAGTAGTGAAAGTTCAGATGGTAAGAAATACCTGTATTATTTTTTTTACCTGTGTATCTGTCTCCCTTAACTAGAATGTTACCTCTCTGAGAAAAATGTTGTTTTTGTTTTTTATACTTCTCTATTACTATTGTGTCCCCAAGGCCTATAATACTTCTGGCATATAATGAGTGCTCAATAAATAATTATTAAGAGTAAATGTGTTTATATCCACTCCTTTCTAAATCCCATTAAAACATTTACATTAAAAAAATAAATGTAAAAAACAAACACAAAGAGGCTCTATAGAAGAGACAATAGCAAATGAGAGAGAGCAACAGATTTTTAGAAGCTCGAAAACTGATACGTGGTTGGTAACTGACAGCAAAGCAGAGAAAGCTGAAATGTAAGTACCTGTAGAGAGGAGGCCAGTTTGAACTACACAATTCTTGAAAGCCTGAGTGTTTGGAGAAAACTGGTTAACTCTGAAAGCAAGGGTAAGGAGAAGGGCTTAAAATGGGAGAATTCTTTGAAGGTTTATGTCAGGAATAATTAGCTATAATCCATCCCCTTTCCTTCTTCAACCTAGCAAGAGATGGAAGAAACTAAATCAGATACTCTCTGGACTCGGGTTTGCCAGATACAGCAAAAGGGTAGGAATAAGCCTCTAGTCTGAAAACAGGTTAAGTGAAAGCATATATGCTGAATGGTGAGGCCATACCCCACCGTCTACCCCTCCAATTCTCTTTTCTTTATTCCTTGGTTCCCAAAATGCTGATAGAATAGGGTAATAGAGGATTCTTCTCAGGAGAAACTAAGCCTAAGAGGAAAGACCTAGAGTCTCAGATATTCGGATTCTACCAAAGAAATGGCAGGTACCTTGCTTGTATCAGACCATTTAGATGTCCACTAAGTATGCATTTTTTTAGTGCTTCACTTTTAAATATAAACATACATACAAAGAGCACTAGATATTTGTGGAAAACCTCTTACATAAAAATAAAACAAGAAAGATAAAAAAGGGGACCTCCCTGGTGGTGCAGTGGTTAAGACTCCATGCTCCCAATGCAGGGGTTCTGGGTTCTATCCCTGGTCAGGAAACTAGATCCCACATGCATGCCGCAACCAAGAGTTCGCATGCCACAACTAATGAGCCTGCCTGCTGCAACGAAGACCCGGCACAACCAAATAAATAAATAAATATTTTTTAAAAAGAAAGAAAGATTAAAAGGGAATTTAAAGGGAAAAATAATAAGAAGGAACAAAAGCAAAATTCCAAAAAATTACATCCTCAAAGTAACAAAAGACAGTGATATCCATGAAATAATATTTAGATGCCAAGCAAGGAAGGAAAAATGGGGAGTTGATCTTGGAAATAAAATATGTAATAGAAATTAAGAATTCAAAGAAAATTTGGAAGATAAAGCTAACTTCCCCAAAAGACTAGAGATTACGGATGGGTGGATGGATGGACAGATGGATGGATGGTTAGAAAGAAGGAAGGAAGGGAGGGAAAGAGGGAGGGAGGGAGGGAGAGAGGAAGGAAAAAATAGGACAGAAAAGATGAGAAAATAGATAATTAATTCAGGTGGCCCAATATCCAGCTAAAAATAGTTTCATAGAGAAGAAAGGAAATGAAGGTGAGGAAATTATCAAAGAAATAATTTAAGAAATTTCCCCAGAACTGAAGAGCATGTGTTTCTAGATGTAAGGGCCCAAAATGCCCAGCATTGTGAATAAGACCCACACCAAAGCTCATTATGAAATTTTACAACACCAGGGATAAAGAGAAGGGCTTTCAGGGACAAAGAACAAGTCTGTACAAAAGGTCTGGAATCAGAATAGTATCAGCCGTTTTAACAACAACTCTGAAAGTTAGAAGACAATAGTAGTATCATCAAAGGTCTCAGAATAAATTACTTTAACTTAAAATTCTAAATCCCACCATACTCTCATTCAACTGTTAGAGTACAATAAAGGTATTTTCAGAAAGTAAAGTCTCACAAAATTTTCACAAACTGAACAAACCAGATAACCAGCACCCAGATCAAAACCAGAAATTACTAGCACCCCAGAAGTCCCTCTCATTCTCCCTACCAATTGCTGTCTCCCTGCAGAGATAACCACCTGTTCTAACTTCTAACCCCAAAGATTAATTTTGTCTGTTTTTTGACTGACTATAATTGGAATATACAGTACGTATTCTTTTGTGTCTGGCTTCTTCCAATCAACATTATATTGTGATATTGAGCCATATTGTTGTGTGTATTTTATTCATTCTCATTAGTATTTCATTTTATAACTATACCACAATTTATCTTTTTCCTATTAAGGGACGTTTGAGTAGTCTCCAATTTGCGACCATTATGTTTATTGTAGCACTCTTCATTCTCTTACATATCTTTTGGTGAACATATATGCCTGCTTTCTCTTGAGTATAAACCTAGGAGTGGAATTGGTAGGTCAAAGGGTATGCATATATTCTACTTTTACAGATATTGCCAGTCAGCTTTCCAAAATGGTTGTACCAATTTACGTCCATAACAGCAGTGTTTGAGTGTTCTAGTCCGTTCCATGTCTTCATCAATCAGCACTTCAGTTTTCTTTTTCATCTAGCCTTGCTGGTGGTTGTGTAGTGGTATTGTGCTTTTAATTTGCATTTCCCTGATGGCTAATGAAGTTAACACCTTTTTATATGTTCATTGCCAATTTGGATTTCCTCTTCCGTCAAGTGCCTTTTCAAGTCTTTTGCCCATTTTCTATTTCTTTCATATTGATTTATAGGAGTTCTTTTTACTTTCTAAGTACCTGTCTTATGTATTCAATTATCTTCTCCCCCTCTGCTTACTTCCTTTCTTAATATGACTTCTCAGAGGAATAAAGTAGGCAGTTTGAGAATGATTGGAGGTTTGGGGCTTCTTTAAAACCACTTTGTGAAGGAATCTGTCTTCTTTAATTTACTACACATTGATCATGGTATAAATGTCTGGGTTCTTTAAAAGACATATTTTTCATACAAAAACTTGTACACGAATGTTCATAGCAGCAATATTCATAGTAGTCAAAAGGTGGAAACAATCCAAATATCGATCACTGATGAATGGATAAATAAATGTGGTATATCCGTACAATGGAATATTATTTGGCAATAGAAAGGAGTAAGGTATTGTGGCGATGGTTGTACAACTCTGGGAATATTCTAAAAACTTTTAACTGTACACTTTAAACGGGTGAAAGATATGTAAATTATATCTCAATAGAGCTGTTAAAGATAATCTTAGGTTTTCAAGAAATTTACTCAGAGAGTTTTTGTTGGTTAATTGGAAAAAGCTGGATATTCACTCACTCTAATTTGACAAGTTAGAAACAACAGTGGTATCACCTGCCTTAATTAGAGAAGAATCAACTAACAAGTTGCTTCACGAGGCATCTTAGAAGTAGTAGATGTTGAGCGCTCCAAAAGACAGGAAAGATCAGCTAAATTGAAAAGAGCTTATCGAAAACTAGTAAATCTTAGCAAAAAGCAAAATCATTCTGAAGAGCCATTTAAAGTAGAATGTTGACCACTTTCGTGGCCAAGAGTCCTTTATTATGAAAATAAATGAACGCCTCTGATTATGTCATGCATTGTCCAAAAAGACATGGCCCACTGCCGTTCGGGAGCTTGCAGTTGAGCTGTAAGACTGCTTTGTGAATTAATGATCACAGTATGAAGATACACAAGAGACATAGTAGTATAGAGGAATTGCATGTAAATAAGAATTAGGAATCAGAGAAGTGTTCTAAATAAGAGTATTTTAAGGCCAAAAGGAGTTCTTTAAA